GCCTTTGAGCTTCATTGCCGACAAACAGGTCGTCCGTCTCATCCATGCTCAAACTGGCCGAAATCTTCATTCGCATGCCGTTGCGGCTCCTATCACAAAGGCTGACTGGGAGGTTTCCTGTTATGGTAATGTCACTGTCGGCGACGAAAAAGACCATTGGCAAATTGAGGTTGTCAGTGACGCCGCGTCCTCCGATAGATCTCGCATCCGGACCTTGACCACGGCGTTCAGGCTGAAGCACGTCGAACTAGGATGCTACCTTCGTGCTGGAACTGTCAATCTTCCTCAATGGGGTTTCAAGCAGATTGAAACAACCTGCGTTAAGAAGCCAAGCCCAAGGGATGTTTACACACACTGGAACGTCGAATCTCACGTTAATGAAAGACGTAAGTCCGAACTCGCCGTGTTTCTGCTCCTTTTCTTCACTGACATGCTATAGTTCCCCCTGGAAACGCGGCAAATTACCGGTCACCATTCTTCAAGGATTTCATTCATCTCAACGTGGCGATGATGACATCGAATAATGCCCTCGTTCCTGATCCCGACAAGCAAGACGACCTTGCGTCCAAGTTCTGGCAGTGGCCCATTCTGCACGTGGGACTTCGCATGTGCTCGTGGGAGGACCACATCACCAAATACTTCTTGCTCGGCAACCCGATCGTGTACTGGGGCTCAACGGCTTCGTTGGGCGTGGTGGGCCTTATCGTCGCGTGGTATTTGATTCGTTGGCAGCGGGGCTACAACGAACTCAGCCAGGCCGACATTGACCAAATCCATTACTCAGGCATCTATCCAGTGGTCGGATGGTTCTTCCACTATTTCCCTTTTGTGATCATGGGACGAGTCACCTACGTCCATCACTACTACCCGGCTCTCTACTTTGCAATCCTGGCGGCTGGGTTCAGCCTGGACTGGACCACACGACGTCTCAACAGCAAGGTGCGGTGGGGCATCTATTTCGTCTTGTACGCCGCTGTTATTGGACTGTTCGTTTTATTCAGCCCAGTTGTGTTTGGTATGCAGGGAAGCAATCGACAATACGCGTATCTCAGATGGTTTGATCGATGGAGGATTTCGGACGCCAAAATGTGGGACGACGCTTGATCCTATATCGGGTATCGGGAACCCCTCACATATTCTCTTGAAAGCTCCTCCAATCACTTAATGTGCCTTTTGAGACGACACATGCGATGGTGTACAAGGACACATGGAACGCGGGTTATGTGGATGTGGCGTCATGACTGGGTAAAAGCAACATTCAGGAACACCCCTTTTGTAAAACCAAGATCCAAATGACTCATTTCTTCACTGTCGGCAGTGGACCAAGATTTTAGGGAGTGGAAGGAAGTCGGTGGTTCACATTTTTGATCATGTGTAACCATGACTTGACCACAACCGGCAAGGTAGTACAGATGAGTTGTGTGATGAATAGTTATAGAACATGATGTAGTTTTTTCTCTTCCAGAAAGGGTATTAAAGACCTCTCAGCCTGGATTTTTGACAATAGAATGGTGCCTCATACGTCGTACACCACAGCTTGTGCCACTGAGTCCAGATCTGAGTGGCGACGGTGGCAAGGCTGGGCCACCTGATCACAGACCGACGAGGCTGTGGCCGCGGTAGCGAAGGACATGCATCATACGCTAGTCCCAAATAGCCCACGCCGAAGATTTCTCTAGCGGGATTGTCGCAGCCACTGAGAGGTGGGGGAGGAAATCGTAAGAGGTCTTTCCCACTACTCGCATACAACCATTTGCTCCCCCCAATTCTTCTACCCAACCCTGCGCAGCTTTGTCGTCCTCGTCGCCCTTCTAGCCGCAGCTCTGCGGGCTTCCAAGGAGATTCTCTCGTTTGATCTTCTCACGAGTGGTCATGTTCTCGTAGAAGTGAGAACCCAGCCACGTCTCAGCTCAGCCCAGCTCCTCCCGACCCTTCATATTCTCCTCTGCGTCGCCTCTGCCAATCTAACATGGACCCCAACCAACGCGCCTCTACGGCCGATACGCTCGGCGGTGACTACGCCGACGACCACATCATGGAGACTGGATCAGGAGGGAGGATAGAGGTGGCTCAGGAAGAGGTAGATGCGATCATCCGTAACACGAGAAAAGTGCGGGACCCAAAGGCTTGCTATGCGTGCCACCGTCGAAAGGTCAAATGTGATAGAAACCTGCCCTGTGACTCTTGTGTCAAGCGAGACCACCCGGAGCTCTGTTCCTACGAGCGCCCGACCAAGAAGCGGCGCATTGCTCTCAGTGGTGCCTTGGCCCAACACGATGGTGCTGGGTCGGAGAGCCCCATTCAACAACAGACCGGTCCCAACGTTACGGTGCCACGGGAGCAGTGGGAGCGGCTGAACAGGGAATTGCAGCAGCTGCGCGGTATAGTCCCATCCGAGGAGCGCTTGTCTCCGGTCTTGGTGCAGTCAGAGTTGGACGACGCAAACCCCACAGGCACGAATAGCCGGGGAGACGAGACAGAGAGAGAAGGAATTCATGCTCCTAGCAATCAGATGGGTACGATGCATTTGGGGTCGAGATCTGTTCTAGCCTACATGATGGGACTCGGCAGAAGCAGGTCAGCTCAAGATACGGCAAAGTCCTTGCTAGAGGAAAACATTCTGCCAAAGCTTGGCTTGGATAACGAGAGCGCCACCTACCCTTTTGTCGATCTATGGAGTACCGACTCAAGCATGCAGGACGTGAACGGTTTGTGTAAAGCCATTCCAGACGACGAGCTGTGCAACGAGTAAGCCATTTCCTAAAATACCGCGGGCCGATCACTAACTTGCTCCAGATTTTTTGTTGCTTACAGAGATATCGCGTGTACCATATACCCTGTCGTACCAGACACCTCGAGCTTTGAGGACACGCTCCATTTCATGCTTTCCAATCGGGCTCGTGCCCTGCGCGACAATCTCGAACTCGATCCCAACAAGCCGTATGGTGTATCATTACCTTGGCTGGCACTGGTGTTTGCCGTTTTTGCGTCCGGGTCTCAGTCGTCGGACCGCCCAGCAAAAGAGAGGGAGCTTACATCTCAGGTTTACAGTGAGTCCAGTCACAAATGACGAAACCGAGGGACCTGGCTAATCGTTGATTACAGTCTGTTGTTCCTATCAAGCGCTTCGCATGTCTAACTTCCTGACTCATCCGTGTTTGGAGACGATAGAAGCGTCGCTCATCATCGGAAATGTTCTGTCGTACAATATGAATCCCGGGGTGGCATATATCTTCCTAGGCATGACACTACGCATGGCCTTTTCGATTGGATTGCAGATCAACTCTCAACAGTTCACGGACGCCGAAAAATGGACTCGACGACGAATCTGGTGGGCACTTGCATGGCAAGATTCGCATTTTGCCGTTAGTTACGACCGGCCGACGTCAAGCGTCCTCTGTATCCCAGATATCCCCTACGGCAAGTTCAGTTCCCCGGGCGATCGAAGCTACGCGGAAAGCATGTTTGCCATTATTCGACTGACGCAGGAAATCATCCGCGAACGTCTCCTCCACCCGCGATCTTACATGACTTGGGATAGAATACAGAAATATACCGAAGAGATCACGAGCATTGTGTCCCAGGGAGCCGCTCATCTCCGGAATCGAGACCTTTGCTACCAAATGACACAGCATCTCGAACGCCTTGCATTGAAACTCCACAGCTGCTACATTACGAGCGAGCTGTGCCGGCCTGCTCTGAATGCAGGGCCTGTATCTTCAACGGGTGACAATTTGACACCCGTCCAATCACCCCCTGGCGGTCGACGGAGGACCTCGGGCACCATAGGTCAGTCACCGAGCACGACTCCTCTCGATGCAGCGTCCGTTGCCCAATTTCGGACATTGTGCGTGCAGAGCTTGGAAGGTACCGTTGAAGCATATGTTGAATTGCACGGCTTGAGCAAATTCGCAGCCCGATCTTGGATTGGAATCCAGCGCTCCATCTCGGCTGCATTCTTACTGGGAACCCTTCCTGAGACAAGCCGTGACACACGACGGTTGTCTCTCCTTCGAGAATTGGAAGCGGTCATCTCACAACGTACGCAGGAAGATCCGACATTCGACCTCCCTCAGGAAGCGAGTCCCGCTGCTAATCGCCGCTTCTCTCAGGGGGCAGAGCCACCACCACCACTTGCAGAATCACCTCATTGGGCGCGGAGCATGGCCAAGTCGCTCAACGCGTTGGGAAAACTGAATGCCGCGCTTGCAGGGCCGAGATCGTCGAACACGAATAAGTTCCAAACCACGTCATATGGACAACAGCCTTCGAATCATTACCTGGGGACTTCATCTGGGTTAACATCAAGTTCGGCGGCCAGTTCGTCATCGCCGACAATAGGGTCGCGATCATCTCAGTACCCGCCGCTCCATCACATTAAGGAGGAGGACGCGTACCCACCACTCAACACTAGCAATACAATCTTGGGACTCGGGGGTTCCACAACACTGACGGGCATGGGGACGTCGATGGGACCCATAACGCCTGATTCCACTGGCAGCTCGGGGGATTGGAATTTCGGGAATATGCACGAAAGAGCCGCAGAGTACGTGCAGGCGCCGCTTTGGGGAGAGGGAGGGATAGGCAGCTTTCTGGGATAAGGTCAGAGGAAGGGGACATGACAGAGAAAGAATTTCGGCAACGTCGGGGCGAGAAGTAAGAGGTGTATTGGTGTCTGCTGTCGGATGTTCGACGTCCGATGCAGTGACATTATCACGAAGGCAGGGCGTAGGAGGTTATTACGGAGGCGACAAACAAGTCACCAGTTTATATGAATTGGAACCAACCCGAACCAGACGCGGAAGAGTATTGTTTGGGTTACTTGGTCACGCATGTCTGCAATTAAGGGGGGGGTTATGGGGTGCTGAGTTGTGCGAGTGTTTTCGACGAAGCGCAGATGTGGAATTGATTATGGGCAACAACGCACGCTGAAACTTTCGAACCTTTTTGTCCTCATTATCATTCTCCTTCTTATTCTCGATTTCATTGCTATCCAACTTCTATATTGACAATTGATATATCCCCGCCGAACCGTGCTTGACCCGCTCGATCCGGTCTCGAGTAATCAGGTATTCTGGTGGGACATTGCATTCCGCATTCCCATCTTCGTCCAGATGGACATCCACGTCTATATCTCTGCCAATGTCTCGGTCTCCGTTTCCATCTCTACCTGTATCCCCAGCCCGCCAAACTCGCAGAGCGCGCACCGCCCTCCGCGCCACGTCCCGCCCGCACAACGGCGCGTTGGTCATCCCGTGGCCCGTGTATCCCGCACAGACGAACACGCCGGGGTGGTCTGGCGCGGGGCCGATCCAGGGGTGGCCGTCGGAAGAGTGGCCGATGATGCCGGTCCAGGAGGCCGCGAGGGGGAGGAGGTCATCATCGGTGGAGTGCGTGTGCGAAGGCGACGATGAAGGCGACAACGAGGATTCGGTCCCGGTTCCGTCATCCGTCGCAACTCTGGTTCGGTCTTGATGGGTCCTATCATTAGACTTGGCCTTGGAATTGAGACTGGGTTGATTGAGATGCAACCTCTCCGACAACCCGCGCAGATACCGCTCGACGCGCTTGTCGACAAAGTCGTCGTCCCAGACGCCCTCGCCGTGGTGGAGGGCCAAGTGTCGTCCGCCGCCGAACATGAGGTGTCCGCCTTGCCTGTCCCTACCACTATCACTATCCCCATGCCTGTCGTTGTGATGGTGATGATGATGATGGTATGGATTCTGAACGAGGTAATCGCTCATGACGCGGTCCATGTCGCCGACGCCCACGAAGCCGTAGCTCATTGGGATCAAGGGTCTTGGGGCATCCGAGTTCTTGTCACAGTTTTCTGCCTCGTCAGTTGCGTTTGGATTCCCATTCGCAGTCCCATCCCCGCTAATTTTATGATGCTCGCCTCGCGCGGGAGACAGTGACGGCGGTGGTGGTGGAGGGATAAGAGCAGACATCTGTGCCTGCACGGGACGGATCAACGGCGCGAAATCTGGCAAGAGATGGGACGTGTATGCGTTCGTGGCCAGGATGACTGTGCGGGCGTGCACGTTGCCGCGGGGAGTGTGTAGGATCCATCCGTGTGTTGCATTGTCGTTGTCGTTGTCGTCGCCATAGACCCTCTCCAGCGCCGTGACAGGTGTGTCCGTCTGCAAATTGAGGGTACGTTTCGACACGCGTGCCTCTGTGACTCGACCACCTGTTCCTCGTCCATCTCGCCCTACCTCTGGTTTCGCATTCTGACCCTGGTCCCGGCCCTGCTCGAACCTCTCAAGCAACCCGCTCCACAGTCCCACACATAGCTTATAGGGACTCAGACTCGCCGCCACACTCTGGACGATGGCGCCCACCGCACCGCTGTCGATCTTCAATCCGAGGGTCTCCAGCTCGGCGGGGTCTTCTACCACCCTGGCTAACCTTGTGGGCTTGTCGTCCTCGCTGGCGGAACGGGTATTCGTGGTCTTGTCTGAACCGATCCCGGTACCGGCCCCGGTGTTATCGGTGGAAGTGGACGCAGCAAGAGCAAAATCCCTCTTCGCGTCCCTGAAAAACTCTTCGTTCCAAAACCCAAGACACCCTTCGAGTCGGCGAAAGTCACACCAATTAGGAGCAGAAGGAGGAATTGATGACTCGGTCTCAATCTCGTCGTGATAATCACCATGACATTCACTTTGATCATCCTCGTCAACAGTAATACCGTCATCTCCGGCCTTCCGAGACGTATTCAGCGCCAACGCCTCGACATGGTGGAAATTGCGCAGTTCAAAATCAATAATGTGTGCTGGCGCCCCGTGGACGATCGGCTGCAAGTGGCCGCCATTCCTGCCCGTGGCGGCGGAGCAGAGCGTGCGGGCCTCGAGGGCCAGGACGGTGAGGCTGTTGCTGTTGTCGTCGTTGTCGTCGTTGAGATCCGTCACTGCTACATCCACTCCTTGGACATGACTCAACAACTCATCGACAGCAAAGGTGCCGCTGATGCCTGTCCCGACGACAGCCACGTCCACAGAGGCGGGGAGGTTTGGTGTTGAACGGTGATGAACGAGCGGATTGGGAAAGGAGGTCTGCCAGAACGAGGGTGTCGGGTTGGCGCTGGGCAGGCCGGCGCGGACTGGTCGTTGTTGATGGTGTGGAGGAGGAGCAGTACTACTAGTAGCAGGAGACCCCCCGGCGTCGCCCATTCTTTTTGATCGATGCTGATCGATAGCTGATTTGATTCGAGATGACAACCACGATAGATGGATAGATTGATAGTGTGAGATGATGTTTCTGGACCCGTCAAAAATAAAAGTAAGAGAGCAGAAATAAACCAAAATGTTGGATGGTGTTCCTCACGAGAATCTCAGATGTCTTTCTTTCTCTCCCTGTTCCTCTTGCAGCTAAACCCTTATCTAGCCCTCACATGTAGATATGTGACGGTCAATGACTTTGCTGTCATGATATGTCCTCACACGCGAATGAATCTCAAAGACGAGGTATCTAGCACCATATAACCCCGTTGGTGTTTCGAGAACAGGGACTAGATTTTCTATCGGAGTAGGATCCAAAAAGAGACAAAGTGGTAGATGTTGGGAGGAGAACGAGGAAAATATTTGTGGACATGATTGACTGCACGGAACTCGATCAAGAAAATAAACCCCGTTTCAAACTTGCCCATCTACACCGAGACATGCTATCCGTAAATAAAGGACAATTATTGATGAAAAGTCATGGACAAAAGGTCTTTAATACGACAGTATCGTAGTTCGAGCTACAGCATCCTCCAAGCCCCTGCCGCTCGGTCCTCTCTACCAACCCCATGATGCTCATCTAGTAGCAGAAGGTCTACAAACCTCTTCGAATCTAGGGACCAAAATGCTCAATCAACCAGCTCATCTCACTTCATTCCATCTTACAAGGTGCCACTGCTATGAATGCTCAACCAATCAATACCCACTTCTTGTCAGCCTCCTTGACGCCTCTTCTCTCCGCTATTTCTTCCAGAGTATGCTTGATAGCATCCTTGGAACATTTGGGAAATTGATTCTTCAGCACCTCAATCAACCCAGTCTTTGTCAAGGTATTGCCCGAGACTGCTTCCCTGAACGCCGGCAACAAATCTGCTGAGATAGTCTTGACCGGCTTACCCAGAGCCTTGTTCGCTTTCGACTTGGACGATTGGGATTGGTTTTCGCATACCCCTTCGTTGGACGCAACCCTCAGGAGACCGGACTGGAGGACGAGATTGCCACTATTTGGGTCGACTGCCATCAGTGGTAGACGAGGAGGCTGCATTGGAGTTTGTGGCTTTTCCTCTCGCTTGACCGGACTCTTTCTCCCCACATCTGCCCAATGATCCGTTGAATAAGGATCAATCGGAAAAGTTGTCGAGTCGTGCAGAACGTCCATTCGGTACAGAGACAAATCGTTGCCATCCTGTGACCCATTTTCCCCTTCCCAGCATAGTCCACTGCATTTGGGTTCCATATCACCGATAATTAGCTGACGTTTCGCAACCTCCCCTTCGTCATCGAGGAAATCTCCCATTTCTTCGTCGCCATCCTCGTCTTCGGATTTCTCATCATCGTCTAGCACTTCTTCGTCGCCTTCTTCCGGTTCTTGCCATTCTGCTTCGCTGTCATAGTCGTAGTTCGTATCCGGTAATCCTCGGTAGCCGGCATTGACGGCAAGTTTTCGTGTACTTCGTGGAGACACAACTCTTGTATATGTCCCATGATAAGCAGGCCGCACATCTTCGTGGAAGAACAAGTACTTGTAGGGAAGGTTGGCCAGAATGTTTGCAGAGTCCGCGAGATCCATAGAAACAGTTTTCGAGTCGTTCATTTCGTTCAAAATTTCCTTTACAGGCCTCACTGGTCGTGTCCGCCGACGCCTCCGAAACCTGTTTCTAAGTGTCTGAGGTGTGTTGTCTTGATTGAGGGGAAGAAAAGCATTGTCGAGTGCGGCTCTATTCGGATGAAAGCGGTTTATTGGTGCGACTGTCATATGTTCCTTGACAAAGAAAGGTAGAATCCAATCGTCGAAGCCAGGGTTCTTTCGTTTTGACGGTGACTCCTTGATGTCAACCATTGGGTGGTCGATGTCGACAGAGGTGACTGAACCTCTTCTGGAAGGCGTCGTACCACGAGAGACATTCCCAAGATCATTAGCCGTAGGTACTGAGGCAGCCGCTGGAGGCCCAAAGAATGAACCAAGCTTCATTTGTGACTGGAAGAAATAGTTAGCAGCTTGAACGGCTCACGTCGAATGGTGACGTTGGAAACCTACCCTCTCTTTCTTCAACGCTTCGGCCTCCTTGCGTTGCTTCTCCGCCTCCTTCTCCTGCTTCTCCACATCTTTCTGTTTCCTTTTCTCCTCCCGAACCTTGCGGGCGGCCTCTTTCTCTTCCTCCTTGCGTTTCTTGTCCTCGTCCTTTCTGGCCTTGGCCTCGGCCTTGAGCTTCTCCTTTTCTTCCTTTTCGGCCTTTTTGATGGCCTTGTCGGCCTCCTTTTCGGCAAAGGTGACCTTTCGCTTCTTGCTGTCGACGGGGGCCATGGTCGTGTTCTGAGCCGGGCTCAGGACAGGAGTAGCACCGAGGTCGGTCAACGGGGTACTGCGTTCACTAAAGTTGGGTGTTCCAAACGGAGATCGGTCTGCGGTCAAGGGACTGCTCTGTTGGCCGGCCGGAGAGGTGATGGATGCAGAGTGGTGAACTATATCTCCTTCGTGGTTGCGTTTCTTGGAGGGAGTGAGCTGAGCAGCGGCGGGAAAGGAAAGAGCGGGTGGCGGTGGTGGTGCAGCGGCAGCAGCGACGTGAGAATCCATAATAACGGACAAAAATGAGACATCAACAAAGCAAACGCACACAGCTCCTCGAAAGTATCTCCAGGGCACACACTTCGGCGTCAAGGACCTAGGTAGGCGGTACGGGAATAATCTCTCGAGTCGTGAATCGAATGCTGTGAAGACAGGGAAGAAACGCGCGACGCGGTCACACGAGGCTTCGCGTTTGCCAAGAGAGTCATGTGACAGGGCTCTGTGACTGACTAAGCAGACCTCAAACGAGTTCTCAGTACTAGATCTGTGTGATCTGTGAAATGGAGCACTTTGCAAAGTTATTGGATTATGAACTGAGATCGTCATTATAGTCTAGATCTATGAGACATATTTCTCGTATCCTGCATGATCTTCATTATATAACTATTAAGTAAAAGGAAACCCCCCCCCCGCCCCCCGGTCTCAGGCATACAAAAATCCACGTCTCGTGTTGCGCAAATACTCTGGTGGTGCGAACGCCAGAAATGGCGTCTGCTCGTTGGGCTGGTTGCTGATGTCGTTGACAAAGCCCTTTTGGACATCATAGTCGCTGCGCTGATCGACCACCTCTCCGAGTTTGACGTCGACATCCCGCATCATCCTGGCCCGGACTATCCCGTCCAGTGCGCTTCCGCCTTTTGCGAAATCAAAGTACGGCGAATCTCTGGTCAGGGACGAGCAGTACGACAGAACATCTGGGATGGTCGTGTGGTATGCGCACCAAATGGTGAGGAATGCTGCAATCTGCATCACCCCAATCGCTGCACAGTAGACGCTCAGCCAGGGCCACGACACGACATAGACATCGAACCCTTCCGTGTAAAAAGCGGTGGTGTTCTCGTGATTCAGAGTATACTGCATAGTATCGGCCGAGACTTGGCTCGAAAGTACCCAGGTGTTGAGAAGCTGGCCCAGTCGTTGGGAAAATTGTCGAGCAGTGACGTTCGTGTAATCCGCGTACTCGCGACCATTGCCGCTTAAAATGAAAGCCGCCGTTGTATTTTGTAAGTAATACTCACTCAAAGAAGAGTAGCCCGAGCTGAGTAGTGGATCGGTTGCAAGGATCCATGTCTGGGTAAGATAGGAAAAGGTGCTGGGGAAGCTAAGCGTGGTCACTGTCGACGGTGCATGCTTTTTCGGGGACTTTCGCTGCGCGGTGACAGCGCAGACGGGAAGTTGAGATTCAGGGACCGATTGGCATGACACATTTGATTCAAGGTAAACCTGGTTGATCTGACACTTTGACACCCAAGGTCCACGAGTTTGAAAGAGGAAAGTAGCCTGGGGTATGTCCACATTGGTAAGATTGACCAACTGTTCCGGATAGCCATAGAAGTAAACGTCATCCGAGACAAATTGGTTCATGGCCACCTGCCAAAAAGGATAGATGCCAGTGTCCGAGTCGACGGTGGTGTTGGGTCCCAAGAACGTGCCATTGCCCGATGTCACGTTAAAGTTGATCTTGATCTCCTCTTGATCCTGAGGTTTGTTGCAATCGAGGTTCATGTATGTTGTCTCGAGAACGACGCTCGAATTCCGATTAGCCAGGGATGCGATAGGTACGCCGACCAGGGCCGAGAATGAGCCCTCCGTCATATTCTCCTTGGATAGCGTGGCCCAGCCGTCACCGTCCTTTTCCAGGTCGTCGACTAGCCAGGGTATCCTGACATTTCCCCAGAGATCCATAGTGCCCGCCTTCACAGTGTCCGGTCCGAGGACAGAGGTGATGTAGCTTGGTTTTAGAGAGGTCAGTAATGAGTCGACACCCGAAACCGAGTTGAAGACCTGATTGGTGATCGTATCGACATAGCTGACTTTGTTGGAATCTGCCTTCACTTCCCGACCAGTGCTGACCAGACGCAGAGATGCTTGTGATCCCAGGGGTGAAAAGGCCCAGCAGATCACCAGGATTAAGGCGGTGAAGTTGATAGCTGGGAAAGCAACTTGTGTAGTGACGGCCGAAAAGAACGTGCGGCTCTGCATGATCTGCTCAAGCAGCCCGAGTTTGGCGCCTTTCTCAAGTCGCCACGTCGCGAATCGCTTGAGCGTCGTTCCGAGGACGGCGGCAAAGAGGATGGTGAAAAGCGTCGACGCCTGTTCTCGGTCAATAACCATTTTTAATAGACAGTTTTCATATAATGCGAACCGTGCTTGTCGCCTGCTTGATGTAATTTGTATCCGCCTCTGTCACGATCTTGTGATTGTACTTTGCCATGGTCACGGCTAGCCATGTAAAAGGCACGGATATCAGAACGGCAAAGGTACAGATGAGGATTTCGACCACCAAGTCTCGTCCAAATTTGCCTGACCTGGTCGGGGGAAGAACCTTTGTCGACGGCGATCTACCCGCGCCTTTTGTGAAGCCATCGTCAATCTGCTCTTCTTGAGGAGTCAAGATCACGTTGTACTGGCCGGCGCCCAATTTGCGATGAACTGAACCGAGAGATCGGATTGACTGTCGAGCATGGGATTTACCCCCCAGGGAACTGGATCCATAGGGACTAGACAGCTCGATGAAGTCGGACATCTGTCGACGAGCTGGACCAAGAGAGAACGAACGGTGTGGGTTTGTCCAGCATCAGAAGTCAAGGGCTTCGAACCAATGTATAAATTCTCGAGACCATGGACGCCCGCGGGATTGTGTAAGTTTGCAAAAGGTGAAACAGGACGTTTTGTGTAATGCAGGATGCCGGAATAATTCCAAACCAGGCGCGTCAGAGGCTCTTCGCCCTAGGATTGGGGCCGCATCTGAGTATTTTGGACCCATGACAAAGATCCGCGCGCAGGATATGATTTGCTGGAGGGTCAAGTCCGGAAATAGCAAAAGAATGGCCATGATGGGGCCATGAGGGACAGAAGACATACATAACCTCAGGCGATTCGGCCTCCCATGGAGACCAGAGTTGTACCGTGTGAGTAAATGGAAAGACATTCCAACATCAGCCGAACATCCATTCGTGTGTTGTCCGAAACCAACTCGTCGGGTCGCTACCATTATTGACGACCTTCAACCTCCTTGATTTAGCGCTGATGGTCATCTAAGCTGCTTCCATGGGACCTGCATAATATAGTAGGTGGCTACCGGAATAGGTTGAGGTGGGAGAGTGATGGATTACTCGTGATGCTGGAGTGCGGGCCGAATTCACTAAACCGTTGAGCTAATGAATCGGAGCTTATCCCTCTCCCCGTAGCATCGTCATCGCCCTCAGCAAGTGGCAGGTTTATAACTACCGGAGTCGTTTCGTCGGTCGTGAAATTGCAGACAAAGGAAATCAACTCGAGTAAGCCTCAATCCGCCGCCCACGGAAGGAAGACATGTCAAACCAGCGTATTGGATATACCCATTATTCCTACATGCCGCTGCCTTCGAAGGATAGTGGTGTTTGATCCTTGAGCTTTGCGCTTTGTGCCTTACTCCCCCAGATGAAAGACGAAAATCACCGACTCGCTGTACCAGGCCGTTAAACAGCGCGGTACACCACCTCCTGTATCTAAATATTCTTCCGCAAAGAAGTCCCTTCACCCAACCCCGTTCGTGTCCCTCCTCATCTTTATTCAACGCGCCAGGCTCGCGGGTTGGGTCCCTAGATCGTCCCGTACCCGACCGACCCTCCAGATTGCACCCTCTCACTATACACTCCCGGTGCCTGATGCCCCGTCAATTGCCCTTGTCTCGCCCTCTCCCTCCGGTCAAAGTACACATATTCGACGTAAAACGCGTGGATGTGGCCGGGGATGTACCCGAGCAGGGTCAGGCAGATGTTGACGAAGAGATCGGCGCCGCAGCCTGCGACGAGGAACACGCCCACGGGAGGTACTAGAGTAGATTGAAGTTAGTAGAATGTACAAACGACCGAGAGGTAGCACCAGGGAGCTGCCAACGGCTATGCGACGAAATCGATCGCGGGCGTAGACTTACCAAGGATGGTGATAAGGATGATGAGAAGCGCGGGGATGGCACTGTCCGACATTGTAGCAGAGTCTTCGAATTTGTGACTGAGATGTTGAATTCGCGGTACAAGGTGGTTTCTTTGACGCAGTTTGTCTCAGGGACACTTCAAGCGGCACGTCTGTGCCGTTGGAATTCTTATGTAGGCTATGAAGGCAGCAGCTAAAGGACAAAGGATGAAACAGCCAGACAGATAAAACTTCCCCAATCCAGTAATTACCCAGTTGCGCAGACGCGGACGTCACTGCGCCACAAGCGCCACACCTGGGATTAAAGTGACGTAGTGTGATGTGGCGCACCTTGTGGCGGTGCTCATATCACCTTTCCACACCCCTCCAATGGGCCACCCACTGCACTACGAGTCAGGCTCGAAATCCAAGATATCTCTTAACTATGAGTAAAAGTACATGCCTATCATACATCGAAAAGTTTCCCCACATATTTCAACAATTGGCGTGTGACTGGCTAGCAGATTCATGCTACCAACTCGCTAATCCCAGCCCTGGGTACCTGGCCCAGGAGCATCAACAACTCGGCGTCATCCTCTTCCACAGCATAGTCTCGCACCGTCTTCTTCGTCCGGTGGTCTCGAAGTGTAGGATCGGCTCCAGCCTCCAGCAGTGCACGCACCGTCTGGCATCTGCCCTTGATCCGTCTCCTCCTTTCCGACGGATCGGCTATATCTGTCTTGACCACCGCATGCATCAATGCCGTTTTGCTAAACCGATCTCGTTCATCAATGGAGGTGGTGTGCTCCAAAAGGATTTCAACTAGCACTGGGTCACACCGTCTCGCAGCGTCGTGGAGAAGGGTGTTTCCGTGCCACGTTGGCGGAAACTCGGTGGGCATGGGAAATTCCAGCAGCTGCTTGACGATCTGGTGATAGCCTTTTCTACAGGCCACCATCAGCGGCGTGTAACCTTCTGAGTCGCGTAAGTCGGTCTTGATGCCATTTACTGCCAGTAGCAGGCCTGTGATGGTGGAGAAGCCTCTCTCAGTAGCCTGCTGCAAGGCAGTGAAGGGATCTTTGGGATTTGATTGAGTATAGCCGGCTTGAAACGCAATAGCGTTGACATCCACGCCATGCTTGATCAATAAATTGACCTCCTCCGCATGCTCCTCCTTCAGCTCGCAGAAGAAATGTAACGGTGCATAACCGCGTCCTGTCCTGGCGAGTCCATACCCGGTTCCGTTGCGGATATTGTCCCTCAGCTCCGGCTTCCTGATGACCATATAGTTGGACTGGTAGGTATTTAAATACTGTATGGCGACTTTTGCCGCCTTGTCGAGTCTTCTCTCGTTGCAGAGGTCTGCTATAGCTTGATATGTAGGTTCGAGGGTTTTACTGGAAGAGGATCGTTCGAGCTGCGCGCTTGCCGGGGTCGTTGTGGAACTATCGTCATGGAAGGACAGAGAGCGATCGTAAGTCGATGTTTCAGAGGGCGAGCTTAACCCTCGAGCACCAGATTGAGCGGCCGCGTCTATATCCTGTAGATTGTTCAATGTTATAGACTTGGAAATGGATAACCTCGATAGTTCTGGTGCCGGCGCATAGTAAGCTGAATCCGAGTGCTGCGAGAGACGAGCACGGTGCAGAAATCGGTTCCGAAGCTTCGGACGAGGTTGGTTCTGTATTTCAGAAGCCGGGGGCAATTCTGGTGAGACCGCGGCCGGTTTGAGTTGAGATACCTCGACCTTGCTCAAAAGTTTTTCGGTGGAAGGTGTGGGTGTCGTTTTCTCCGGTGGTGATAGAAATACCTCGTACCCTTCGGCTTCCTCTTCATCGCCGTCGTCACCTCGGGTTCGGTAGACATCGATGACCAACTGCACGGATTCCAGCGTCTTCTCATCCTGTGGCCCGAGTTCTTTTCTACGCTCCATGAACGCTCGTAGTCCATGCTCCTCGGCGGAATCGAAATCACCCTTCAAAATGTACACACGGCCTAGCATGTGACTCGCAGCCAATGCCTGCAGCTTGTCGGGAACATGACGTGAACAACCCTGGGCTTCGCTCGAACAGAGAGGATCTGTTGAGCTGGACGGGAAGATATCACTGCGCATGGCGGCAACCGGTTGCAGCAGCTCGACCGCTTGATCGAGCTTCTCTTGCTGACGGCAGCAATCAGCTAGCATGAGAACCACCTCTGCAGGCTGGAAAGATATCCTACCCTCAAAGTCATGGCGCTCCATGAGAGCGAGAGCCTTCCGAAAATGCCGCTCCGCTTTTGCATAATCATTGTCTTCAAAGCTGTCCTGGCCCAACTTCAGGTGATTCTGGGTTCTCAAGAATTCCACCTCGGAGCAAACTTCTGCATGACCTCTACCGGATGCGGAGCCTTGTCGAGCGAACGCGGCTGATTGTTGAGGAGAAGCGGCAGGAGGTTGGATCCAACGGTCAACTCGATCTCTGCGATCTGTCGAGAGCGGGACTTCATTGGCAGGGATCTTTATTATATCACGGAGAGCCTCGGGTTCGATAGCTGGGGATATAGTACTCAAGGAAGATCTCGTGCTCGCCGCAACGGAAGCGGTGCTCAGAAATTGTTTGGCAAAGGCAAGATAGGTTTTCATTCCATCATCGTGACCTGATTGCATTCTCTCGGTAGCAGCGATTGTTGAACCACCCAGCGTTTGCAGACGCGAGGGGGAGTTCAGACTCTGGATGAGCGCCCTCATGGTTCGTTCGAGCATGATGAACTTGGCATCCAGTGATGTCTGATGCTCGATTGTTATTCCTCTTTGTTCGAGTTGGAGCATGACGCAGACCATCTGGATCGGTAGTGACAGAGCCGCATTGAAAAATTGGATGCGCTGGCGCAGTCGAGACAGCTCGCCATTATGGAGGTTCTCTTGTAGATGGGCCTTCACCTTACGTGCAAACCCAGATATTTTGGCAATCTGGGTGAGGATCTCATTGACTCGCTTCATGGTGTTCTTGGAATCTTCGAGCGCATCTTTGATCTGTTGCCACAGATGAGCGCCGTCGTCGGTCTTGTTGGCCACGCGCACCGCCTCTGCCAGCGGAGGGGAAGACAGGCTCTTTTCCAGGCCCTCATAAGTCGCCCGTAGAGCCGCCACCTCATCGCAGAATGACCGGATTCGAGCATCGACAGAATTGATATCTCCGTATATCTTGATCACGGTGCTGGTGCACGACACACAGGCAGCAGCTATCTGAAGAGCGCCTGCTGTGAGAGAGAATGGATCCATGGCAGCGGGAATGGACTCGATAGCCACCTGGATATCGAGGTAGCGTGGAGAATCATAGGATAGAGGGATATCTAGCTGTCCTGAACGAATTCACCCGTCCTCCATACAAATGCAGATTGAGATAGGGCAATAGGAACCGTTGTCGGAGGGCAATGGCAGTAGGTAGTGGTGGTGGTGAAGGCGGTGCCTGGTGCTCCGCCTCCGCTTTAATACCAGGTCGACGTTGTTTCCACTTCGGGGATAGTCGGAATGAGGGCGGGGGAGACGCCGCTTTTACTCGCCATACCGAATACCTGTAGGTCCCTCCTCGGCAGTCACCGATGTATGTACAGTACCTTGTTGGCACTGTGGTTGGCACTGTGGCTTAACGCCTTGCTACCTAGCGAGCACTTGTAGGTAGCTACTGTAGGAATGGAGCTTGTCTCTCATTCCCCCAAACCTTTCTTTTCCCCTCTCTTCTTCCCTGTACCTTTAATCCCTGTCCAAATTCCTTCCACCCTTTTACCTTGTTTGCATCCCTGTTGTGCTTCGCCGCGACACCGCCCGGATGTCAAGTCATTTCCCCCATGCCCCATCAGGGTCCTCGTATTCGCTTCTCCGGCACAAAGTCCCCCTCGAATCCCGTCCAAGAAGCGATGGACCCTCTATTCGCCCTCCAATCATAAATTCCTCCTCGACTCGTTCATTGATGGCCCGTTTCGACCTCTTCTGGTGCCTTGCGACTTGTTACCTCGTGGCCAAATTCGCTTGTAGGCCTCGTGACGATAGGGTTCAACATGTGACCTGTGCTCTAGGCACCTTGAGAAGGACGGGTGCCTAATCGACTCACGCAAAGGGCAGGCTCGTTCAACCGAATCATGCATCCTTATGGTTACTTTCTACTACTGAACCGGCCGGAGACCAGATTTGCTAGGCTGTAGATCCATTATATTCCGGCTTCCCCGTGTGCCTTTTCCAGGTCGGCTTGCTCGTGCATGACCCTCCTGCTGCTCGAAGATCGTGTCTAGAGTCGTGTCCAACAAGGATGGTAACCACAGCTCGCACCTGTCGAGACCTGACAATGTCAGGTGGACCTGGAGAAAACCGGTGTGATATCACATTTCGAAGATTCTGCTGATAAGTCCACTAGAGTGCCGGTGCAACACGAATCTGTTAGTTATCGAAAACCGTATCCAAAGGGTTCACCATGGAGCTAGCGATAGATGTGTCAGGGTGTCCAAGTGGTTGCAAACATGACCATTGTAGCGACGTCCCCTTGTTTCCCTAATGCGTGCTATAGAGCCCCGTGCTTGTGTGTGTTTTGCGACGGGAGGTGAATCTTGGGATCGTTCGAGAATTATCTCAACAGTTCGTGTTTCCAACTCCACGCGCCGTAAGTATACCTGACAACCCTGGATCCTTTCTTGTCCTTGTTCCGATGTTCCGAGAAACGAGTTTTTGCGTGTTGTATACTGGCTTAACGGGGTTGCAATAGAACAACTCTTTAGATACCCGTCAAGTCTTGTTTGTTGAGCCAACTTCAGTTCAAAAAAGTGCGAGAGGCGCAATCCCAGAAGTGACCCGTTCGAGCTTCTTAGGTATGAGTCCAGGATTTTACAAAGCCCTGTCCTCGCAGTATCGATTGCATGTGTACTTCGGAAGTTTGTGATACCTGGACCTGAGAGGAAAAGCCGTTGTAAAAGCGGCGACACGGCACAGCAACCCATCTCAGCCTCCCTACAGGACAGGCGGAGCTTGTAGCCTCACTTTTGGGCCGGGTGGCAGTGCCCGGAAAGAAATGGACCACAGACCGTAGAAGAGCCCGTGGGGGCC